AAAAAAAAAAAAAATAGCCAAAAAAGAGCTAAAATAAAAGTCTTCCAATTACCAAAGATTTCGATAATATAAAACATATCAGGATAACTCAAAATATACTAGACCAACGAATTTCGTATGACACAGATATCATAAAAATGGAAAGAGACAAAAACCAAAACCTTAACAGAATTTCAGGAAAATTAAAAAAGGTTATAGAATTTTTGTTTTTTATTCTAATTCCGATAATACCAGATAATAATACTTGTGAGACATACATATATGGTAAAGAGAAACATGATTGACAAAAAACTGATAAATAGCAGATCAAAGTTTTGCTGCCAGACTAAACAAGAAGATTGTTCCTTGTTATCCGCATAACAATTTATATATCAGAAAAGGTATTCAAATAAACTAGGCTCTTTTATTTAATACATATAATATCAGAAATATTGGAACTAATTGAAGTATTTCTCTGATGGTGTTATTCAAAATATTGGAACACCTCAACCCAATAAACTCTCTATCTTTAAGTATGTAAATTTATCAATTACTTTTCACATATCAGCTAGTTCGAGCCTTCCGATATCTATTGGCTAGGTAACCATATATATATAGGCATATATTTATATATATAAATCAAGTCATTCTTTTCGCTTGCCTGTAAGAAGTTCCGGCAATCGAGAGTGGTACGTGTAAACAGGCGGTGTCAGGCGATCATCGGAAGGGCGTGTCGCGTGGAATGATCTATGTATGTATGTACTAATAGAAAAGTCCAAGGAGAATGCAAATATTGTTGATATGTTTCGCTTTTTCGCCTTTCAATTCTGTTTTTTCTTTTGCCGCCCGAAGCAAACAATGAGAAATTTACATTAAGGATTTCCTGTGCCCATCCACATCCATCCGAAAGCAATTAAACACACACACTTTTGCAGCCAAGCAGCGCCATTCGGGATGTGCACTTGTTGTTGTTTGTATTTTTTATTTGTATTTCAATTTTGTTTTTGTTTTTGTTTTTGTTGACTGGGCCATAAATTTGATCAGCTTCCAGGCGCAACAAGTGGCAAGCAGCAAAACGCGCCACGCAATGCAAACAATGCCAGCAAACAAGCAACAGAATATACGAATGAAAATATAAGTGAGTGTGCATGATTTGTGTGGGTATGCCCGACGGGCCGGATGCTCCGTAAGAATGTTGATGGAGCTGAATGAAATAGCAGCTGATTTATATATGATATATATTCTATTTGTGTAAACTTGTTCAATCATGATCATCTTTATGCTGACTTTTGACTTTACATTATATTAGAGCTAATTGCTATTAGGTTCAGCTGCATAGAGACTCTAGCTTATGCCTACATCTGTTTTTATTTTGCATGAAGTGAACCTCATTGGGACTTCCAGCTACTTACCAATACCCCTACAGGATAGCAGCATTTTCGTCAATTCTTTAGGCCTATACCAACACCCCTACAAGGTGGCAGCAATCGCCTTTCTTTTTTCTTTAAGTGCAAAAATGAAGGAGAATTTATCGGAGAGTATATTCTACCTTAATGGAATGGGCAGCACTACATTGAACATTTCCAAGGCATCCCAGCTCGAATGAGATGTGCCTGTAAAAGAGTTTCATGCCGTAGTATCGCATGAGAGGTGTCTTCTCTCTTTTAAGCGTTGTCCTGGCAATAGAGTCGGTGTGCTATACTCTCATCTGCTAAACCCACAGTCTAACTGAATCTATCCATCTATGCTAGGTAGAGCTCAAGCTGTTAGACTAGCACCAGCTAAGCCTCGCAGCTCGACTTTGACTCTCCACAAGTGCCGACGCTTCGCTCACTTTTCAGAGTCAGCATCAGTTCAAGTTCGACTCTTGCAGAGATAAGTTCAGATATTGGTAGTCAAGCTGAACTAACCTGAGCTACCCTCTGCACTCTGCCTATTGAACAAAGGAATAAACATGAAATATAGTAAGACCTGTAGCAAACCCAGTCTAAAAATTAAAATGCCCTCGCTTCTGCCTACTTTCCATAAATATAGGGTATAGGAAAAACAAAATGAAAATAACAACAACATGAACACCAGCGAGAACACCATCAACAACAACAACAACAAAAACATCATTGATAATAATAATAATAATAATAATAGCAAGAGCAGCACGAAATTCGATGTGTTTATTTTTAACAGCAAAGCAATTCAATTAAATCACAAATAAATATGTAAATTCCAAAAAGCTTTTAATTTGCATGAATATTTGAGGCGTTTCGCATGCCTTCACACATCTATTTGTATCTGTATATCTATAGATCTACAGATCTATATCTATATAGATTGGCGATTGTGTTTCCCCAGCGTATCTGAAACGTCTGTGCGTATATCCGCATCCGTTGGCAAATGATTTTGAATTTGGTTTTGGTTTTGGTTTTGACTTTGATTTCGAATCTGAATTTGATTTTGATTTCTCGCTGATCTACTGCATACACAAATACACGCCAAGAATTCAATTCCCCCCCTCGAATTTCGCTCGGCTGTCCGGACGGTGGTTGTCGCGCGTTTTATGACTTTTAAATTTTTTATTGGCATATCTCATGAGCAGCTATACATATGTATATCACACAATATATGTTAACTGTATACACATATATGTATATATATATATATATATGCTAGATTCGTATATTGGATAAATAGATTTTCTTGGCCACGGCCATAGAGCCCATACATATCGCTAGTCATGAAATCAACTATAGACTTTGTCGCTCTCGCTCTCGCTCTCGCTCTGGCTCTCGCTCTCACTCTGGCTGCCTGGCTGCCCCGCCAGACTCACTTACAATGGGATGAGCAATTATAACAGCAATTTAATGCCTTTGAGCAGCTCATCAACGGCCCGAAATAGTTGCTAAAGTCTTTCGCCCTGACGCTTAAGCACCCATCAGCTGTCTCCACGGGCAAATGAAACGGGCGCCACAGCCTCTGAGATGGCCCGGATTTGTCTTGGGGGCGTCGCTGGGCGGCAGCCACTCAAGTTCATTTGGTTCACTGAACTTTTTTGGTGTTTGTTTCTTTTTTTTTTTTTTAGGAGCTCACTCGATGTAGCTACAACAATATCATCCATCTATCACTTATATATAGGGCTACTCAGAGATTTGTTACCAAAAATCGAAAAAAAAACTTGAAAAATTTTTGCAATTTTTGCTAAATATTTTACGAAAATTTCAAATATGAATGCTGAATTTTCGTTACAAATTTTTGGGTATTTCAGATCATTTTTGATTTATATTCATATTGTACATATAATACTCTTTCAATTTAAAACTGTTCTCTAGAGTAATAGAAGAACTTAAAAAATAAATAAACAATATATATAAATGTAGTAAAATTAACCAAGAGATTCCTTTTTGCAAGTTATTATTTTCTAGTTATATGGGTCTCGTACAATCGTAATCATTTAAAATTGTACTATGATTACGATTATATAAGAATACCATATAATCGTAATCATAGTACAATTAGTTACAATTAATTATATCGATTATATAGTATAGTTTTTATTGGCAATTTTCTTCAAAAACTAAATACAATTTCTATATAAATTGTATCAAGAATGGATTGAGAAATATTGGAAAATGTTCAGTGGAAACTTTTCAAATAAAAAAAGTTTTTCTAAATGTCCGCATAAATGAAATCATTTAGAAAAACTTTTTATAATTATGTATAATGAAGACATAAATTAAATCACTTAAAACAACTTGGTATAATGATATACATATAACGCATAATGAATAATGAATACACAAATGATATCATTGAGAAGAACTTTTAATTTTTGAAAATGTCTCTATGGGAATCTAAAATGCTGAAAATTATAGATAATAATATTTATAATATATTAGAATATTACAAATCATCAAATCAAGCTGCTAAATATTATCAATATCAGATCAGATCTAGCTGATCAATATAACTGGCAGGTATATATTGTATGACTGGACCTATTTATAGTATAATTTATATATTTCACATGAATATATACACATATATAACTGGACATACTTATTGTATTTTTTAAGTTCATAAATCTTTAATTTATGAATTCTATAATATTTAAGTAAAAGTTTTCATTAGTAATCCAACATTTTTAATATTAGCTATGATATATATTTTTGAACTCTAGATATTCAAATGGAAATTCTTTAAGGGGTATTTGAAGTCCATAGACATGTATACATTAGATTATCTGTTAGATTTATGTCTCAGATCTACAAATATAGATATTACAATCATTTACATTTCTTGGACTAATTCAATGCTCATAATTTGTTGTATGGTTTGAGCAGATAATGATGTAAAACTTACGTAAAGTTAGTTAGATTTAAAATATCAGTTGTTCGATATTATCTATAGAAAGTGCTAGGGGTTTGGTCTTAATGCATATGATAAGAATCACTACATTTTCCATGCTTAAAGTCTATAATTCTTAGACTTAAGTGGTTAAGTGACGCAAAAGGATTATTATTTATAGAGTTAACCGAACATTTTGTATATCGACTATTTTACGAAACGTTCTTGATCTTTGTATAACTGACCATACTTTCTGGTTCCATACAAATGAGCTAAGCTGATTATGATATATAACGAATTCATCATAGCTACCATAACCTATTGGATGTCAGCTATAAGATTATATCTATGCAATTATATTTGATAATACTTCTTGAGTTCCTTGAAATCTAGAAGATATACATATAGGCTGAATATAACTAATATCAATTCCATATATGACTTAGACTGAACTAACTAACTAATTAACTATTAGCAGATCCCTTCCTTGCTCCATATCTATAGAACTGATCTGATGATAGCTCTATGGTTCTTTGGTAGTCCATAATTCAATGGGACTTATTCCGTAATTTATTACTGTCGTACTTTTCGCTGAAATTTATGGTTGGCTAATTAGCGCAAATATTCGGAGACCTCGAACTGAACAAATTGGATTTGCAGAACGGAACGATGACGTGGCTAACCTTGGCGCAAGGAGCACGATCAGACTATAGATCTGTGATGATCGCGTACGGACGGATCTTTGTCAATCTGGCGACGATCTCTTCCATACCAAATCTGTTATTAAGCATCATGTTTTTTATGTGTCACAATATTTACGATCTGCATAGAGACGTGCATATACTCACACACACACACACACACACATACACATAGAAACAGATGTGTGTGATGTGATGTATCTAGTCGAATACAGATATATATATATAAATATATACATATATAGACAGAGAGACATATCTGCCTATATCTGTTGCGTATTTTTAGCACATCTGCTGAAAAGGAATGCCAAATATTTGCGTATATGAATAACTGAGATAATGCTTGAACTGATCTGCATTTCTTTCATTTTCTTTGTCTTGTCTCTTTGATCTGATTTGCAGGAGAAGGGCTCGTTCATATCGGGGCTCTACTGTCGCGATACCAACTGCAGCGGACTGGTGGTGCCGGAGATCACTGGGCTGCCGCATCCCAATTGGAATTGTCTGGTGTGCAAGCAGAAGTCGACGCATGCGCAGATGATGAAGTCGCAGGACTTCGCCAGTGGCGCCATCAATGCCAAGGTCAATTCGAATTCGCTGCGCACCCTGGTCCACTATCTGAACGAGAAGAGTGACAGCTTTATACCGAGCAGCAACTATGTGGTGATCGATGCCAAGCTGTCGGTATTGGCGCGCCTGGCGCAGGGGCGCGAGGACTGCAACGAGGAGCTGGTGTCGAGCACGCGCCTGCGCTACTGTCGCGACATCACACAGATCATGGACAAGCTCGGCCTGGGCGATTCGGTGCTGCGCACCCAGCTGGAGCAGCAGCTGCACAAGGAGGAGGAGCGACGCGCCAAGAAACAGAAGGAGCTGGCCGAAAAGCAGCGCCAGCTGGCCGAGCTGGAGCAGAAGGCGGCCGAGGCGGACAAGCTGCTAGCCACGCTAGCCGTGGCCGACGAATCCGCTGCAGGCGCAGGAGACGGGGCAGCGGCACCACCGCCAGCTCCTGCTGCTGAGCAGGCCTAGGGAGGAAGAGAGGGAGCCCATTGCGTTGACGTTCGTTTATCGTCTATTCTATATA